CCTCCCCCCTCTCCTCTTCCTCCAGGCGTCCCCAGGCCAGCTCCCCGCTCGGGCTTCCCAGGGCTTCGGGGCCAGGCCCGCCGTTGGCGCCCAGGGTCGCACGCGAGCCTGCGGGGCGCGGGCGCATCGAAGTCAGACGGGGGGGTCTTAGATAGGAAATCACAGTCACGGGAACTTCCGCTCGTCTTGGATTAAACGCATGTCGGCGAATAGCGCGAACTTTTGCCTAGTTGCGCTGAAAAGCGCCCAGCTAGCGCCGAATAGCGACCAATAGCGCCCAATAGCGCACGATAGCGAATATCTCCCAAACCAAGTGCCAAGTTTTGGGTGGGTGGGCGGGATGACTGCCCGAGCAGTGGAGTTGACAACTCACTACGAACGAAAATTTCAGCAGGTGCACTACATAGACTGCACCACATAGCTTGCACCGCATATATTCTCTTTTCTAAAAAAATAGACTCTACCCCCCCTGGCGTTATCGGTATCCCTTCCGGGTATGTAAATCACATATGATTCTGACCACATGTCCATCCTATATATGAAATCACAATGTCCCAGGCCAGCCGGTATCCCCCCCTGAGGTTCCCTTGTAAACAAACACTATGCGGTGACATTTGCTGTTCTAACATAACACTTTGTCACGAATCCCTTGCAAAAAATATGACGAAGTGCACACGCGCGCGTCGTCGCGCGCGCATGCCGAAATCCTTCAAAAACCTGCGGTGCCGGAAGGATTTCGCAATCGAGTTTCCAAGAACCAACCAAAATATATGGTTTCGTAACACTGATCTTCTAAAAAAGCTGACGCGCGAGATCTTGCGAAATCTTAAGACAAGCATTGGTTTTCAATATTGTCACAACATGCTACCAACGGGCGCGTCGCGCGCGCGTGTCGAAATCTGTCGAACGCCCTTGCGCGTGTGCCGTCGCGAGAATCCTTTTTGCAAAAAATAAGACGAAGTGCAGACGCGCGCGTCGTCGCGCGCGTACGCCGAAATCCTTCAAAACCTGCGGTTTCGGAAGGATTTCAAAATCGGGCGTCCAAAAAACATACAAACACCCAGGGTTTCGCAACACGGAATTTCAACAAAAGCGTGCGCGCGCGCTCTTGCGGCGTCGTCGTCGTCGTCGTCGCCGTCCTCCTTCCTCCCCCGTCGTTGTCGTCGTCGTCGTCGCCTACGTCGTCCTTTGTCTTTCCTCGTTTTCGTCGTCGTCGTCCTCTTTGGCGTCGTGGTCGTTTCCGTCGTCGTTGTCGCCGTGGTCGTCCTTCCTCCTCCTCCCTCGTCGTCGTCGTCGTCCGTCGTCGGCGTCTCGTCGTCGTCCCTCCTATTTCCTCGCCGTCGTCGTCGTCGTCGGCGTCGGCGTTGTCGTCGTCGTCTTCCCTCCTCCCTCGTCGTTGTCGTCGTCGGCGTCGCCGTCCTTCCTCCTTCTTCGTCGTTCGCGTCGTCGCTGTCCTCCCTCCTCCCTCGTCGTTGTCGTCGTTGTCGCCGTCGTCGTCCTCCCTCCTTCCTCGTCGTCGTCTTCGTTGGCGACGTCGTCGTCGTCTTCGTCGTCGTCGGCGTCGGCGTCGTCGTCTTCGTCGTCGTCGACGTCGGCGTCGTCGTCGTCGCCGCCGTCGTCGTCGTCGTCGTCGTTGTCGTCGGCGTCGTTGACGTCGTCGTCGGTCGTTGTCGTCGTCGTCGGCGTCGTCACCGTCGTCGTCGTTGTCATCGTCGTCGTCGTCGGCGTCGGCGTCGTCGTCGTCGTCGTCGGTGTCGTCGTCGTCGTCGTCGTCGTTGTGGGCGTCGTCGAAGTCGTTGGAGACGTCGTCGGTGTCGTCGCAGTCGTTGCGGGCTCGCGCGGCCGCAAAGATGTATCAGCCAACACCCAGCACTCATCGCAAGTGTTCCCGCATGGGTTTTGCAAACCAACTTGCGGGTGGGTGGGTGGGATGATTGCGCGAGCTGTGGAGTTGACCACCTCAAGTTCGGCAAGTGAATTCTCCGTTCTAGAAAGAGAATCGTCTCTACCCCCTCCCCCCGGCGTCATTGGACACCCCTTTCGGGTATGTAAATCATACATGATTTTGACCACATGTCCATCCGAAATATGAATTTAAACTATCCCAGGGGGGCCGGTATCGACCCCCCTGAGGTTCCTTTGTAAAAAAACATTATGCGGTGACATTCTGTGTTCTGGCATAAATCTTTTTCGCGAATCCATTGCAAAAAATGGGACGAAGTGCACGCGCGTCGTCGCGCGCGCATGCCGGAATCCTTCAAAAACCTTCGGTGCTGGAAGGATTTCGCAATCGAGTTTCCAAAAAACTAACAAAAACACATGGCTTCGCAACACTGATTTGCTGAAAAAGCTTCCGCGCGAGCTCTTGCGAAATCTTAAGGAAACCATCGGTTTTTCAAGATTTTCACAAAATTCTATTAAACGGGCTTCGCGCGCGCATGTCGAAATCTGTCGACCGCCCTTGCGCGTGTGCCGTCGCGAGAATCCTCTGCAACAAATAGGACGAAGTGCAGACGCGCGCGTCGTCGCGCGCGTATGCCGAAATCCTTCAAAGCCCATCGGTTTCAGAAGGATTTCAAAATCGTGTGTCCAAAAAACATACAAAAACCCAAGGTTTTGCAACACGGATTTTCAACAAAAGCGTGCGCGCGCGCTCTTGCGTCGTCGTCGTCGTCGTCGTCGCCGTCCTCCCTCCTCCCGCGTCGTCGTCGTCGTCGCCTACGTCGTCCTGTGTCTTTCCTCGTGTTCGTCGTCGTCGTCCTCTTTGGCGTCGTGGTCGTTTCCGTCGTCGTTGTCGCCGTGGTCGTCCTTCCTCCTCCTCCCTCGTCGTCGTCGTCGTCGTCCGTCGTCGGCGTCTCGTCGTCGTCCCTCCTATTTCGTCGCCGTCGTTGTCGTCGTTGTCGTCGTCGTCTCGTCGTCGTCTTCCCTCCTCCCTCGTCGTTGTCGTCGTCGGCGTCGCCGTCCTTCCTCTTTCTTCGTCGTTCGCGTCGTCGCCGTCCTCCCTCCTCCCTCGTCGTTGTCGTCGTTGTCGTCGTTGTCGCCGTCGTCGTCCTTCCTCCTCCCTCGTCGTCGCCTTCGTTGGCGTCGTCGTCGTCGTCTTCGTCGTCGTTGTCTTCGTCGTCGCGTCGTCGTCGGGCGTCGTCGTCGTCGTTGTCATCGTCTCGTCGTCGGCGTCGTCGTTCGTCGTCGGTGTCGTCGTCGTTCGTCGTGGTCGCTGTCTCGCGAAGTCGTTTGGAGACGTCGCGGTGTCGTCCGTCGCGGTGTCGGCGGCGCCCGCCGTCGTCGTTGTCGCTGTCGTCCGTCGGCGTCGGGGGGGGGAGGGAGGTCGTGCCAAGTGCCATCTGGTATCTACCGTCACGGGCGAGGACTTCGCGGTCTTGCTGACCAAGTTGGCCAGAGCTGTGGGTGGGATGTTTGCACGAGCAGTGGAGAGGACAGCTTCAAGACGGGCAAAGTAAATTGCACCACATAGTTTGCACCTCGTATCCGCTCTGTCACGGCATGATGTGTTCAGGTATGTTAGGCTATGCGACGATGTGTTATGTCTTGTCACGCCATGTGGTACTTCCATATGATATGGCATATTACTGTATAATCTGTCCTCTAAGATATCCCACGCTCTGTTCTGGTATGTCCTGTTCGTCCGATTCACTCGTTGTATCTAATGTGGTGTTATATTGTATTCGGTGGCGTAGTGGCAGCAGCAGTAATGGACCACGTATGTGATGTCAGGCGTGCTATGGTACAATATGGTATGTTCCGCTCTCTCCTCGTATGAGTTGTTTTGTTACGCTGCGGCATGGTATGTGATGGTATTGTATGGTATGTTGTGCTGTGCCAGGGTATAATGTGGTATGGTATGTTATGGTATGGTATATGATGCTGTGGTATGATATGACTAGGTCATGGTAGGATGTCATGTTATGATATACGATTATATGGTCCCTAATGCTTCGATCGAGCTATATTTTGACGATGCAACGTGTATTCACATTCGAATATGCGATGCAATTATACGGTGGTCATGGCATAGTAAGTTTGTTATGCTAGTTGTGTCCATTCTGCTGTGCGTTCATGGTGACAGTGTTTCATGTTTCTTTGAACATGCGTCGTGACGATTGGACGGCGTGACGCCGTGACGCCTCTCCCTCGGGGCTGTCTGGCATGCAGGGTGTCGCCATGTGTCGAGGACGCGAGGCGGGACATTCAGGGACACTAGGGATCCTGTGGGGTCTGGCGACCGCGGCATGGTGTCGCCATTCGTCGAGGACGCGAGGCGGGACACCTCGGGGACGCTCGGGATCCTGTGGCGTCTGGCGACCACGGCATGCAGGGTGGGCGGACTTGTTGTTGGTGTTCCTTGTTGACAAAAAAACAAGCTGAGGGGACCGAACGGTCATTCACTGTCCCTGGGTGTGTGGGCTCAAGTGGGGTTCCGCGGTGCGGATTGTTGCTGCGTTGCTTTTCGTTGCGTTGCGTTGCGTTGCGTTGTTGTCGTCGTCCCTCTCGCGGCCCGGCCCGCGACCCACCCGCAACCCGCCCGCAACCCACCCGCGACCCTCCCGCGACCCGCCCGCGACCCGCCCGCGACCCACCCGCGACCCACCCCGCGCCAGTCCCTTCACTCTTATTCGCAACTGCGGAGTGCTACATAACGTGCGCCACCTCCTTCTCCTTCTCGTCCTCCTTCTCCGCAGCCATTTTGGCTCAAGGCCATCTTGGTCCAGGGAGCTCTGGCCCAGGCAGCAGCGCGCTTACCGAACACGTTTCCATCTCCGCCCACGATAGCATCCGTGGTTGCAGTCCTCTGCCCCCTGGAAGGGGATTGGTCTGCACTCCGGCGCCCCTGCTGCGGCCTCGTGGGTCCGTCACTGGTGCATCTGCCTTGTCCGCGGCGGCAGGACAGGCAGCTGGCCGAGACGTTGCAGCATGGCGCGAGCGCCAGCGCGCCCAGACCCGAGGAGCTCGGCCTGGTTGAGGGTGTGTCCGAGGCGGGTGAGGTTTCGCGCGGGCGAGCGCCTTCTCGGAGTCCTACTGCCTGGACATCGGGGCGAAGGGGTTCCCGATCCCGGTGTTCAAGATGATGCAGGCCGCCAAGTGGGACGTGGGCGTGTACTTCGAGAAGCTCGAGGCGCTGGGGTACGCCGACGACGCCCTGCAGGTGAGCGGCCCCCAGGAGGCCATGCTCCAGTCGAACTGCATGCAGGAGGGCCGCCAGAGCAGGACGAAGCACATCTTTGTCGGCGACTCCCAGATGATGGCGCTCCGCAACGCGCTCCACCGCCTCAACGGCTGCCCTGAGATCTGGTGGCGCAACACCACCAGGGACCGTGAGGACTTGCTTGCGTCGATGAAGGCTGGCAAGCGCGTCAGGGCCAGCAGTGGCCGCTTCCACGCGCGCACCGACCAGGCGCCAGACGGCCCGTTGCCCACAGGGTGCAAGGAGGACGGCATCGCGTCGTTCATCTTCTGGGATGCCTGGCTCGATAGGGAGATCCCTCTTCAAGGGATTCAGAACGAGATTGAGCTGCTCGGAGTCGAGCCAGCCAAGGGTGACGCTGTAGTGGTGTGGATCGGCTCGAACTCAATCTCAGGATCTGGCAGAACGAGTGTCCTGCGCAACACAATTGACAAGCTCATTGCCTTGGGGGTGAAGATGGTCTGGGACTCGCCAACCTACATTGACGATGCCCTGATGGCCGCGACAACGGCAAAGGACTTGGGTACCGACTCGCATACTGGCATCCCCATCACGCACACCGTAATCGCTCAGAGGAAGGTCCGCGGCGAAATCGGTTCAAATCAATACAAGAGTGAGAAGGTATTCTTAGCGGGAGGTGTCGAGATTCCGATGACGAAGCGTTGGCAGTTGACGAACGTACAGGGGGCTCCCAGTGGCGATGGCATCCACACCGACATGCGAGCAGAGGGATCTCGCTCTACTACGATCTTCCTGCCGAAGGGCCCAAGAGACTTACGGTAGGTCATCGCACTGCAATTGGGTGGGAGCTATCGCGGCCGGATGATGGATAATGCCCCAGGCCGTCGCCTGATGACTTGGTGCTCCAGAGCGGCCTCTTTGCCATGTGTTGTGCGCGGCTCACGAGAAGCCCTTCTGCCTACGCGTACACCGAGCCATCCAGCTGATATGCATGGGCAGACGTTTTTGCATGTTGCTTTTTTTGGATTTGGAAGGCGCGTGCTGGCATTAGGTGATTGACCGCAGCGCCCGTTCTAGTTCTGGTGGCTTCCCTGTCTCCAGCTTGATGCAGGCCCGTGGGTCGCTCGTCACCTCCTACTCCTCCTCCTATTCCTCCTTCTCCTCCTGCACCTCCTCCTCCTCCTCCACCTCCTCCTCCTCCGCCTCCTCCTCCTCCTCCCCGCCTCGATCTCGATCCTCCTCCCCCCCCCCCCTCCTTCGCATGTCGCCTCACCTCGGTCATGTGCGCGATTGTGCGGTCTCACCTTTTCCATTCGCTCTCGCACGTCCTCTGTCTCGACTAGGCGCGTCGCCTCATACCTCCTGCTTCTCCCTCCTCCCCCTCTTAACTTCCGCCAGGCTCCCCAGGCAGCTCCCCGCTCGGGCTTTCCAGTGCTGCCAGTCCAGGCCCGCCGTTGGCCCCTCAGGTTCCGCACGCGAGCCTGCGGGGCGCGGGCGCATCGAAGTCAGACGGGGGGGTCTTAGATAGGAAATCACAGTCACGGGAACTTCCGCTCGTCTTGGATTAAACGCATGTCGGCGAATAGCGCGAACTTCTGCCTAGTTGCGCTGAAAAGCGCCCAGCTAGCGCCGAATAGCGACCAATAGCGCCCAATAGCGCACGATAGCGAATATCTCCCAAACCAAGTGCCAAGTTTTGGGTGGGTGGGCGGGATGACTGCCCGAGCAGTGGAGTTGACAACTCACTACGAACGAAAATTTCAGCGGGTGCACTACATAGACTGCACCACATAGCTTGCACCGCATATATTCTCTTTTCTAAAAAAATAGACTCTACCCCCCCTGGCGTTATCGGTACCCCTTCCGGGTATGTAAATCACATATGATTCTGACCACATGTCCATCCTATATATGAAATCACAATGTCCCAGGCCAGCCGGTATCCCCCCCTGAGGTTCCCTTGTAAACAAACACTATGCGGTGACATTTGCTGTTCTAACAGAACACTTTGTCACGAATCCCTTGCAAAAAAATATGACGAAGTGCACACGCGCGCGTCGTCGCGCGCGCATGCCGAAATCCTTCAAAAACCTGCGGTGCCGGAAGGATTTCGCAATCGAGCTTCCAAGAACCAACCAAAATATATGGTTTCGTAACACGGATCTTCTAAAAAAGCTTCCGCGCGAGCTCTTGCGAAATCTTAAGAAAAGCATTGGTTTTCAAGATTTTCACAACATGCTACCAACGGGCGTCGCGCGCGCGCATGTCGAAATCTGTCGAACGCCCTTGCGCGTGTGCCGTCGCGAGAATCCTTTTTGCAAAAAATAGGACGAAGTGCAGACGCGCGCGTCGTCGCGCGCGTACGCCGAAATCCTTCAAAACCCATCGGTTTCGGAAGGATTTCAAAATCGCGCGTCCAAAAAACATACAAACACCCAGGGTTTCGCAACACGGAATTTCAACAAAAGCGTGCGCGCGCGCTCTTGCGGCGTCGTCGTCGTCGTCGTCGCCGTCCTCCCTCCTCCCGCGTCGTCGTCGTCGCCGTCGCCTACGTCGTCCTGTGTCTTTCCTCGTGTTCGTCGTCGTCGTCCTTTTTGGCGTCGTGATCGTTTCCGTCGTCGTTGTCGCCGTGGTCGTCCTTCCTCCTCCGCCCTCGTCGTCGTCGTCGTGCGTCGTCGGCGTCTCGTCGTCGTCCCTCCTATTTCCTCGCCGTCGTCGTCGTCGCCGTCGTCGTGATTGTCCTCGTCGTCGTCTTCCCTCCTCCCTCGTCGTTGTCGTCGTCGGCGTCGCCGTCCTTCCTCCTTCTTCGTCGTTCGCGTCGTCGCTGTCCTCCCTCCTCCCTCGTCGTTGTCGTCGTTGTCGTCGTTGTCGCCGTCGCGTCCTCCCTCCTCCCTTCGTCCCGTCGTCTCGGTTGCGACGTCGTCGTCGTCTTCGTCGTCGTCGGCGTCGGCGTCGTCGTCTTCCTGCAGGTCGACTCGGCGTTCGTCGCTTCGCCGCCGTCGGTCCGTCGTCGTCGTCGTCGTGTCGTCCGTAGTCGTCGTCCGTAGTCGTTGACGTCGTCGCGCGGTCGTTTTCCGTCGTCGTCGTCGTCGTCACACGTCGTCGTCGTTGTCATCGTCGTCGTCCGTCGGGCGTCGGCGTCCGCGTCGTCGTCGGTGTCGTCGTCGTCGTCGTCGTTGTGGGGCTCGTCGAAGGTCGTTTGAGAGTCGTCGGTGTCGTCGCATTCCGTTGGCGGGCTCGCGCGGCCTCAAGATGTACCAGCCAAACCCCTGTACAGCGCAGTGGTCCCGCATGCGTGGGTTTTGCAAACCAACTTGCGGGTGGGTGGGTGGGATGATTGCGCGAGCTGTGGAGTTGACCACTTCAAGGTCGGCAAGTGAATTCTCCGTTCTAGAAAGAGAATCGTCTCTACCCCCTCCCCCCGGCGTCATTGGACACCCCTTTCGGGTATGTAAATCAAATATGATTCTGACCACATGTCCATCCGAAATATGAATTTAAACTATCCCAGGGGGGCCGGTATCGACCCCCCTGAGGTTCCTTTGTAAAAAAACATTATGCGGTGACATTCTGTGTTCTGGCATAAATCTTTTTCGCGAATCCATTGCAAAAAAATGGGACGAAGTGCACGCGCGCGCGTCGTCGCGCGCGCATGCCGGAATCCTTCAAAAACCTTCGGTGCTGGAAGGATTTCGCAATCGAGTTTCCAAATAACAAACAAAAACACATGGCTTCGCAACACTGATTTGCTGAAAAAGCTTCCGCGCGAGCTCTTGCGAAATCTTAAGGAAACCATCGGTTTTTCAAGATTTTCACAAAATGCTATTAAACGGGCTTCGCGCGCGCATGTCGAAATCTGTCGACCGCCCTTGCGCGTGTGCCGTCGCGAGAATCCTCTGCAACAAATAGGACGAAGTGCAGACGCGCGCGTCGTCGCGCGCGTATGCCGAAATCCTTCAAAACCCATCGGTTTCGGAAGGATTTCAAAATCGTGTGTCCAAAAAACATACAAAAAACCCAAGGTTTTGCAACACGGATGTTCAACAAAAGCGTGCGCGCGCGCTCTTGCGTCGTCGTCGTCGTCGTCGTCGCCGTCCTCCCTCCTCCCGCGTCGTCGTCGTCGTCGCCTACGTCGTCCTGTGTCTTTCCTCGTGTTCGTCGTCGTCGTCCTCTTTGGCGTCGTGGTCGTTTCCGTCGTCGTTGTCGCCGTGGTCGTCCTTCCTCCTCCTCCCTCGTCGTCGTCGTCGTCGTCCGTCGTCGGCATCTCGTCGTCGTCCCTCCTATTTCGTCGCCGTCGTCGTCGTCGTTGTCGTCGTCGTCTTCCCTCCTCCCTCGTCGTTGTCGTCGTCGGCGTCGCCGTCCTTCCTCCTTCTTCGTCGTTCGCGTCGTCGCTGTCCTCCTGCCTCGTCGTTGTCGTCGTTGACGTCGTTGCCGCCGTCGTCGTCCTTCCTCCTCCCTCGTCGTCCGTCTCGTTGCGACGTCCCGTTGTCGTCGTCCGTCGTCGTCGTCGTTGTTCTCGTCGCGTCTCCGTCCGGCGTCACGGGACGTCGTCGTTGTCATCGTTCGTCACGTAGTCGGCGTACGTCGTCGTCGTCGTCGGTGTCGTCGTCGTCGTCGTCGTGGTCGCTGTCGTCGTCGAAGTCGTTGGAGACGTCGTCGGTGTCGTCGTCGTCGGTGTCGGCGGCGCCGTCGTCGTCGTTGTCGCTGTCGTCGTCGGCGTCGGTGTCGTGGCCAAGTGCCACCTGGTACCTACCGTCACGGTCTTGTCTTAAGAGGTCTTGCGACCAAGTTGCGGGTAGGAGGGTGGGATGTTTGCACGAGCAGTGGAGAGGACAGCTTCAAGACGGGCAAAGTAAATTGCACCACATAGTTTGCACCTCGTATCCGCTCTGTCACGGCATGATGTGTTCAGGTATGTTAGGCTATGCGACGATGTGTTATGCCATGTTGTGTTATGTCTTGTCACGCCATGTGGTACTTCCATATGATATGGCATATTACTGTATAATCTGTCCTCTAAGATATCCCACGCTCTGTTCTGGTATGTCCTGTTCGTCCGATTCACTCGTTGTATCTAATGTGGTGTTATATTGTATTCGGTGGCGTAGTGGCAGCAGTAGTAATGGACCACGTATGTGATGTCAGGCGTGCTATGGTACAATATGGTATGTTCCGCTCTCTCCTCGTATGAGTTGTTTTGTTACGCTGCGACATGGTATGTGATGGTATTTTATGGTATGATGTGCTGCGCCAGGGTATAATGTGGTATGGTATGTTATGGTATGGTATATGATGCTGTGGTATGATATGACTAGGTCATGGTAGGATGTCATGTTATGATATAC